TACAGCAACAACAACAACAACACCAACAACAACAACAACAACACAGTAGTGACAAAAATTACAACCTGACCTCTGTGTCATAATACCCTGCAGTACAAGAACTGGACTGCCTTGTCCTTGTTTCTTGAGGTTTTTATCAGCTATTTCCTTGGTATTGTTACAGACATTTTGGGTTCCAAGATGGTATTGTGGCATATAGACCTGTTCTAGGCAATGACCATGAAACGAGCAACAGGACAACAGCCATTGCTAGGCAGCAGATTCTTTAGAAACAACAGTTGAACTACAGCAATAGGGGAACTGTTGGAAACAGTGTATACTACTCGGTCCATGCAACGGGGTCGAATACCTACACCCTAGCCATGCGAGTCGTAGGAGGTGACGCAAAGGGAACCCAGTGCCTGGTGGTATAACCAGGCCACCCTCTTCCTCAGATATATAGTAGTAATATGGGGACCTGGCTCTGCAGGTTGGAGGAGTCTCAAATCTGGCAGAGTAAAATGTGGTCATGAGTTCTGCGGGACTCAGACCCTAGAATGACTGTGCTGGCGAGGCCCAGCAATAATTGTAAATGACAGACCCATCCTGTCATCAGAGGGGATGTTACATAAGACCTATAACTGCAAGTGTTCAGTTGGAAAGTAAAATTATCGGTCGCAAGTCTCAAGGGGCTTGTCATGAAGACAAAGTGATTGGCCATAAACCACCCATCATAAAGTAAGTCACAACTGGGTGGAAAATGTTTCGCCAGTGACGAAGAGGTTGAAACGGAGGTGCGGAAGTGGCTGGGACAACAGTCAAAAGACTTCAATGCTGCAGGTTTCTGCGCACTGGCAAAGTCATGGGACAAATTTATCAATGTTGGTGGAGGATATGTCGAGAAATAAATGTTTTTCCCAGGTTCGAATATCACATGTTTTATGTTTTATATCAATTTTTGACATATTTACTGATTATCCGTAGTAGTAGTAGTAGTAGTAGTAGTCTATATGTTTTTTATTGCTAGTGGGGTGGGACTAAGTCCGTTGTACTGTGGCCACTTCTGGCCTGTTCTACCAGCCCCAGATGATAGGTGAGGGTGATTGTGGAGCAATTGGTGGAATAAAGATTGGCAGGTGAAACCGAAGTACTCGGAGAAAACCTGCCCCAGTGCTACTTTGTCCACCACAAATCCCACTTGACCAGACCTGGGATCAAACTTGGGCCGCCGCGGTGGGAAGCCAGAGACTAACCACTTGAGCTATGGCATGGCCTCCTCTCTATATGTTACTCAAACTTCTATAAATATTCAAGAAGATGTTTTGTAATGATAAATCAACCTGAAAGTACTTTTAAATGAACTGTATGAGCAATATCTCGTGGTTTATTGCAAGGATGGTTGTTATCTGCAATTAAGATTAAATATTATGAGTTGTTATTAATTGTTCCGTATAGTTGGTGCTATTGACAGCTCCATCAAATGAAATTTCATATTAAGGTAGACACCGTGAAGGCGATAAAGTAACGGTGATTTGTGGAAAGTAATCCATATAGTTTCATTCTGGTAACGTAAATTGACAGTGCAGCGCTGAGAACAAGACTGAACAACCGCTTTATTAGCTGCTGAACTAAACGAGCGCAAGAAAGAAATACCGTATCATTTGCTGATAATTATGTGCCGTTGCGGTGGAATGATTTTCAGTCACAAATCAGGAGGAAGCAGTTTTCACCTTTTGACTGGAACTATTGAGACAACTTGCCTGAATGCCCTAGCCATTGATGGGCCTCGAACCGGGAAACCTGTATGTTAAGGCCGTGTTGTCATACTTACGAAATACTGGACATTACAATTTAAATCATTTGTTTCTTTCTTCTTTTGATGCTTTGAACACGAACCTTCTCTCGCCTCGATAAACTTCATACGTCACTGAGTGTTGCTATGGTTACTCCAGCATCACAGGTCTGTTCGGTTCCAAATTATATGGCACACCGCGTGCATGCTGTGGCGCTATCCACTACCTCGGAAAGACACTAATAAAATTTACAGATGGCTGCCGTCAGCAGCATTATCATCCTCACGCCACTAACTGCTGGATGTAGTTCAGGGTTCTCTGTCCCGTAATAATAGGCGACAAACAAGTCGACTTGCATATTATGTTTTACTGAAACGTCATTAACACAAATGTCAGAATGCTGGTTACTAAACGAAAGAAAGCGATCCCACTTGTAAGCTCCAGGATATTTTTGAAGGCAGGAGAGACAAACTAAAACTTAACATTGAATGTGGTACTGGTTGGATGGAAGCAGGGTGATAAGTGAATAAAAATTCATTGTAAAGGATCGTGCCCCGATGTGAGGTACAATCCCTGTAATTGCCTGGAGGGACTGAGGAAAACCACGAAAATGATCAGTCAAAATAGCTGATCCGTGTGCTGAGATTTGAACTTGGAACCTTTCTAACACGAAGCAGAAGTGCTCCAGCCTTACGTATGTGATACGGGGTAAGGTGAAAGGTAAACTTGTCCGTGTGCTTAATTAATTAAGCACTACGCTACGAAGGCGTATGGGAGAGTGGATGTATAGATCCATATTTTCTTGACCTGGGCGCTAGCTGGAGAAAAATGGTCAGCCTCACGCCCCGGCCGCTTTACCCCTCGGAAAGAGCCCATGGTACCCATTGAAGAGGAGGTTGAGTGAACCAGATAGCCGGTCTGGACACCGTGGAGAAGAGATAATTCTTGACCCTACCGGGACTCGAACTCCGATTCCTCGGTCGTCCAGCCCGTAGACAGTCGCTATACCGACTGCGCTGTCCTGGCTCGTAGGTATTTTTTTACAATGGTATATCAACTACAGAAGCTATATAGCGTCGATCAAGTTGAGAGTGTAATCATTTACAATGCCCTGACCAGAATGTGGTATGTATCAAGGTATTTTGCCCACATTTATGAGGCGGGACTGAGGCAGGCTATGTCACTATGTCGGGAAAATCAGTGTCCTATATTCGAAATTGGTATTCCTACTTACTGAACCCAAGTGCTGACCAGGGAGTCGTGAAGAAATATTTTTTCCTGCATTAGCAACGTAAAATCGGAAATGTCACCTCCACGTATTACTTGTAACATGTCCATTTGTGTGTTCGCATGTAATAAATGGAGAACCACTAAATAGATTTCCTGAAATTATGAAAAGTATAGACAAACTTCCAGTTTTAGTTAAAACCTCAATGTTTGATCCACTACATGAAGAACTGCTTGCGATTATGTGCACATCTCAAGCCTTGCCTTGCTTCTGGAAGGGAAAACTTAGGTAAAAATGAAAGAAGTTTATATTTAATGCGCATTCTCTTGTGGTTTTCGAAATAAAATGGCGGAACACGACATATTACTCCTACATTTTCAGGTATGTTAAATTCTATTCCGTAATTCGTGTGGGAGG